TGTGTGCCTACGGGTCTCTGTGTGAGTCTGTGGGTCTCTGTGTGAGTCTATGGGTCTCGGTGCGAGTCTATGGGTCTCTGTGTGAGTCTCCGGGTCTCTGTGTGAGTCTGTGGGTCTCTGTGCGAGTCTATGGGTTTCTGTGTGAGTCTATGGGTCTCTATGCGTGTCTATGGGTTTCTGTGCGAATCTATGCGTCTCTATGCAAGTCTATGGGTCTCTATGTGAATCTGTGGGTCTCTGTGAGAGTCTACGGGTCCCTGTGTGAGTCTATGGGTCTATATGCAAGTCTATGGGTCTCTGTGTGATTCTTCGGGTCTCTGTGTGAGTCTATGGGTATCTATGCGAGTCTATGGGTCTCTATGTGAGTCTATGGGTCTCTATGTTAGTCTATGGGTCTCTGTGCGAGTCTATGGGTCTCTGTGTGAGTCTATGGGTCTCTGTGTGAGTCTATGGATCTCTGTGTGATTCTACGGGTCTCTGTGAGTGTCTATGGGTCTCTGTGTGAGTCTATGGGTCTCTGTGCGAGTCTACGGGTCTCTGTGTGAGTCTATGGGTCTCTGTGTGAGTCTATGGGAATCTGTGTGAGTCTGGGTCTCTGTGAGAGTCTATGGGTCTCTATGTGAGTCTATGGGTCTCTGTGAGAGTCTATGGGTCTCTGTGTGAGTCTATGGGTCTCTGTGTGAGTCTATGGGTCTCTGTGTGAGTCTATGGGTCTCTGTGTGAGTCTATGGGTCTCTGTGTGAGTCTATGGGTCTCTGTGCGAGTCTACGGGTCTCTTTGCGAGTCTATGGGTCTCTGTGTGAGTCTGGGTCTCTGTGAGAGTCTATGGGTCTCTATGTGAGTCTATGGGTCTCTGTGAGAGTCTATGGGTCTCTGTGTGAGTCTATGGGTCTCTGTGTGAGTCTATGGGTCTCTGTGTGAGTCTATGGGTCTCTATGTGAGTATGGGTCTCTGTGTGAGTCTATGGGTCTCTGTGTGAGTCTATGGGTCTCTGTGAGTCTATGGGTCTCTATGTTAGTCTATGGGTCTCTGTATGAGTCTATGGGTCTCTATGTCAGTCTATGGGTCTCTGTATGAGTCTATGGGTCTCTGTGTGAGTCTGGGTCTCTGTGTGAGTCTATGGGTCTCTATGCGAGTCTATGGATCTCTATCCGAGTCTATGGGTCTCTCTGGGAGTCTCCGGGTCTCTGTGTGAGTCTATGGGTCTCTGTGTGTGCCTACGGGTCTCTGTGTGAGTCTGTGGGTCTCTGTGTGAGTCTATGGGTCTCGGTGCGAGTCTATGGGTCTCTGTGTGAGTCTCCGGGTCTCTGTGTGAGTCTGTGGGTCTCTGTGCGAGTCTATGGGTTTCTGTGTGAGTCTATGGGTCTCTGTGTGAGTCTATGGGTCTCTATGCGTGTCTATGGGTCTCTGTGCGAGTCTATGCGTCTCTATGCGAGTCTATGGGTCTCTATGTGAATCTGTGGGTCTCTGTGCGAGTCTACGGGTCCCTGTGTGAGTCTATGGGTCTATATGCAAGTCTATGGGTCTCTGTGTGATTCTTCGGGTCTCTGTGTGAGTCTATGGGTCTCTGTATGAGTCTATGGTTCTCTGTGTGAGTCTATGGATCTCTGTGTGATTCTACGGGTCTCTGTGTGAGTCTATGGGTCTCTGTGTGAGTCTATGTGTCTCTGTGTGAGTCTATGGGTCTCTGTGTGATGAGTCTATGGGTCGCTGTGTGAGTATATGGGTCTCTATGCGAGTCTATGGATCTCTATCCGAGTCTATGGGTCTCTGTGTGAGTCTCCGGGTCTCTGTGTGAGTCTATGGGCTCTGTGTGTGTCTACGGGTCTCTGTGTGAGTCTGAGGGTCTGTGTGTGAGTCTATGGGTCTCTGTGCGAGTCTATGGGTCTCTGTGTGAGTCTCCAGGTCTCTGTGTGAGTCTATGGGTCTCTGTGCGAGTCTATGGGTCTCTGTGTGAGTCTATGGGACTCTACGTGAGTCTATGGGTCTCTATGCGTGTCTATGGGTCTCTGTGTGAGTCTCCGGGTCTCTGTGTGAGTCTATGGGCTCTGTGTGTGTCTACGGGTCTCTGTGTGAGTCTGAGGGTCTGTGTGTGAGTCTATGGGTCTCTGTGCGAGTCTATGGGTCTCTGTGTGAGTCTCCAGGTCTCTGTGTGAGTCTATGGGTCTCTGTGCGAGTCTATGGGTCTCTGTGTGAGTCTATGGGACTCTACGTGAGTCTATGGGTCTCTATGCGTGTCTATGGGTCTCTGTGCGAGTCTATGCGTCTCTATCCAAGTCTATGGGTCTCTATGCGAGTCTATGGGTTTTTGTGTGAGTCTATGGGTTTATGTGTGAGTCTATGGGTCTCTGTGTGAGTCTATGGGTCTCTATGTGAGTCTATGGGTCTCTATGTGAGTCTGTGGGTCTCTATGTGAGTCTGCGAGTCTCTATGTGAGTCTACGGGTCTCTGTGTGAGTCTATGGGTCTATATGCGAGTCTATGGGTCTCTGTGTGATTGTGATTCTACGGGTCTCTGTGTGAGTCTATGGGTCTATGTGTGATTCTTCGGGTCTCTGTGTGAGTCTATGGGTATCTATGCGAGTCTATGGGTCTCTATGTGAGTCTATGGGTCTCTATGTTAGTCTATGGGTCTCTGTGTGAGTCCATGGGTCTTTATGTTAGTCTATGGGTATCTGTGTGAGTCTATGGGTCTCTGTATGAGTCTATGGGTCTTTGTGTGAGTCTATGGTTCTCTGTGTGAGTCTATGGATCTCTGTGTGATTCTACGGGTCTCTGTGTGAGTCCATGGGTATCTGTGTGAGTCTATAGGTCTCTGTGTGAGTCTATGGGGCTTTGTGTGAGTCTATGGGTCTCTATGTGAGTCTATGGGTCTCTGTGTGCGTCTATGGGTCTCTATGCGAGTCTATGGGTCTCTGTGTGAGTCTATGGGTCTCTGTGTGAGTCTATGGGTCTCTGTGAGAGTCTATGGGTCTCTGTGTGAGTCTATGGGTCTCTATGTGAGTCTGTGGGTCTCTATGTGAGTCTGTGGGTCTCTATGTGAGTCTACGGGTCTCTGTGTGAGTCTATGGGTCTATATGCGTGTCTATGGGTCTCTGTGTGATTCTACGGGTCTCTGTGTGAGTCTATGGGTATCTGTGCGAGTCTATGGGTCTCTATGTTAGTCTATGGGTCTCTGTGTGAGTCTATGGGTCTTTATGTTAGTCTATGGGTATCTGTGTGAGTCTATGGGTCTCTGTATGAGTCTATGGGTCTTTGTGTGAGTCTATGGTTCTCTGTGTGAGTCTATGGATCTCTGTGTGATTCTACGGGTCTCTGTGTGAGTCCATGGGTCTCTCTGTGAGTCTATAGGTCTCTGTGTGAGTCTATGGGTCTATGTGTGAGTCTATGGGTCTCTATGTGAGTCTATGGGTCTCTGTGTGAGTCTATGGGTCTCTGTGTGAGTCTATGGGTCTCTGTGAGAGTCTATGGGTCTCTGTGTGAGTCTATGGGTCTCTGTGTGAGTCTATGGGTCTCTGTGAGTCTATGGGTCTCTATGTTAGTCTATGGGTCTCTGTGTGAGTCTATGGGTCTCTATGTCAGTCTATGGGTCTCTGTGTGAGTCTATGGGTCTCTGTATGAGTCTATGGGTCTCTGTGTGAGTCTGGGTCTCTGTGTGAGTCTATGGGTCTGTGTGTGATTAGTCTATGGGTCTCTGTGTGATGAGTCTATGGGTCTCTGTGTGAGTCTATGGGTCTCTGTGAGTCTATGGGTCTCTATGTTAGTCTATGGGTCTCTGTGCGAGTCTATGGGTCTCTATGTCAGTCTATGGGTCTCTGTGTGAGTCTATGGGTCTCTGTATGAGTATATGGGTCTCTGTGTGAGTCTGGGTCTCTGTGTGAGTCTTTGGGTCTGTGTGTGATTAGTCTATGGGTCTCTGTGTGATGAGTCTCCGGGTCTCTGTGTGAGTCTATGGGTCTCTGTGTGTGCCTACGGGTCTCTGTGTGAGTCTGTGGGTCTCCATGTGAGTCTATGGGTCTCTGTGTGAGTGTGGATCTCTATGCGAGTCTATGGGTTTCTATGCGAGTCTATGGGTCTCTGTGTGAGTTTGTGGGTCTCTGTGTGAGTCTATGGGTCTCAATGTGAGGCTCCGGGTCTCTGTGCGAGTCTATGGATCTCTGTGCGAGTCTATGGGTCTCTATGTGAGTCTATGGGTCTCTGTGCAAGTCTACGCCTCTCTGTGTGAGTATATGGGTCTCTATGTGAGTCTATGGGTCTCTATGCTAGTCTATGGGCCTCTGTGTGAGTCTACGGGTCTCTGTATGAGTCTATGGGTCTCTATGCGAGTCTATGGATCTCTGTGATTCTACGGGACTCTGTGTGAGTCTATGGGTCTCTGTGTGAGTCTATGGGTCTCTGTGTGAGTCTACGGGTCGCTATGCGAGTCTATGAGTCTATATGCGAGTCTACGGGTCTCTATGCGAGTCTATGGGTCTCTGTGTGAGTCTATGGGTCTCTATGTGAGTCTATGAGTCTCTATGTGAGTCTATGGGTCACTGTGAGTCTATGGGTTTCTGTGCGAGTCTCTGGGTCTCTGTGCGAGTCTATGAACACGTCAGTGCCATCATCTGAGACTTCAACGCACTAATCCGGTCTAAGCCAATCGCAAACGTCCTCCTAATGCGCTTTCCTACGGCTATTTACGGTAAAGCTCCACTCCCCACCCATTCACTCGCACAGTACCGCGATGTCCCTAGCAAACGCGCACTCACCCACCACTTACCGTGACATTAATGCACTAATCCGGTCTAAGCCAATCGCAAACGTGCTCCTTGTGCGCTTTCCTTCGGCTATTTACGGTAAAGCTCCACTCCCCACCCATTCACTCGCACAGTACCGCGATATCGCTTGCAAACGCGCACTCACCTCCACTTACCGTGACTTTAACGCACTAATCCGGTCTAAGCCAATCGCAAACGTCCACCTTGTGCGCTTTCTTTCTGCTATTTATGGTAAAGCGCCACTCCCCACCCATTCACTCGCGCGCAGTACCGCGATGTCCCGAGCAAACGCGCACTCTGAAACACCACCACCACCTACTACACAACCACCCAACACCACCATCAACAACAACTTCCTACAACCAAACTCACACGCGTGCCCGCCTTCCCCGTTTCCGCAGAGACCACCACCACCACCACACGGGTGAAGAGCCTGAACACGGGGGGAGGGGTTGTTGTTGTTTTATTATTTAGACGAAGCTCAGAGAAGATCTCACGTGTGTGGGGAGAGGAGACGAGGCTGACGAGGCGGCCGGTGGTAGTTGTGGTGGTGGTGGTGATGGCGCCCTACCCGGCCCTGCGATGCTGTGTGCGGGTGGTGAATTGGGTACCGGTCGTGTTCATCGTCCTGGTCGTCTGCTGGTCCTACTTTGCCTACGTGGTAGAGTTGTGCGTCTGTGAGTTTACTCCCCATACACTCCCCCACACACACACACGCAATCTCCAACGTTGCCCGAACGTCGTGGCAACGTTCGGGCAACCCTGTGCCAACGTTGAGAGAGAGAGAGCGGAATTACTCGAAATCGTCGGCGGTGTCGATAACATCGGCACGGCAATCGATGATGGCCATCGGTCAGCATCGTTAACATCGGCAGGGTTGTCATCGTGATCGGCTACATTAGTGTCGGCGGCTGTAGGATTATCAACATGACCACTACCATCATAGCTTTAATCATCACTAACATCAGCATTATAATCAATAGTCAGCTACATTAGCAGCTGTAAGATGATCAACATGACCACTACCATCATAGCTTTAATCAACACTAACATCAGTATTATAATCAATAGTCAGCTACATTAGCAGCTGTAAGATGATCAACATGACCACTACCACCATAACTTTCATCATCAGTAGCATCAGTATAATCAATAATCAGCTACATTAGCAGCTGTAGGATTATCAACATGACCACTACCATCATAGCTTTCATCATCACTAACATCAGCATTATAATCAATAGTCAGCTACATTAGCAGCTGTAAGATGATCAACATGACCACTACCATCATAGCTTTCATCATCACTAACATCAGTATTATCAGCAACACCAAACATCATCATCAATGCCACTCACGACTATTAACATCATCGCTACCATCATCACCATCACTACCAATCAGCATCACTACTACCATCACCACACGACTATCAATATCATCAATACCATTACCATCATCACTACCACCATTACCATAATCACTACCACCATTAACATCATCACTACCAACATCATAACCAATTGTCATTACCAACATCACCATCACTACCATCATCATTACCAATCATCACTACCATCAACATCATCACCATCACTCCCATCAACATCACAACCATCACTATTATCAACATCATCACCTTCACTCCCATCAACATCACAACCATCACCATTACCAACATCACAACCATCATCATTACCAACATCATCACCATCATTGCCAACCATCACCCCCATCAACATCACAACCATCACCATTACCAACATCATCACCTTCACTCCCATCAACATCACAACCATCACCATTACCAACATCACTACCATCATCATTACCAACATCATCACCATCATTGCCAATCATCACCCCCATCAACATCACTATCATCATCATCATTACCATCATCATCACCATCACTACCATCATCACCATCACCCCCATCATCACCATCACCCCCATCCACTTCCACATCACAATTGTACACGGATAGGCATTGTATCGGGTTGAATGGGGGGTTAGATTTCTTAGACGTCATAGGCAAAACAAGAGCCGATCTCGCGCTTTGATTGGTAGAGCGTCCGCTCTTAGCCAATCAGCGTGGGCTTTGCGCCTATCTGCTCTGTGGTTTCTAATTCGCGGCCTGGCCTAGATTTTTAAACGTGTTTAAGCCACTTATAAAATGTGAACATTTACGTGAATTAACTCTAAAGTTGTTTGGACCGAACTTAAAGGTGCTTGAGCTCTTTACGTGATGTTACCTAATGCTTCGTATGACTTAAAGCTTCAATTTCTCGAAGCTGCTACGGTCGGGACAGGAAGTCGGTATTACCCCGGATATATGGGATGTACTTTTGCCCGGCATAGTAACGTGGAATTTCCCGTTTGTTCATTGGACTCTAACCGACGTTGCATAATGTTCTGTTTTCCCCACAGTTACTGTGCAAAACGTCGGTGAAAAAGGTAAATATCACATTTAGATGAATATTTTTTTTATTTGAAACGCATAGAAATACCAAACAGTAGAACGTTGTCTCTTAAGATTCTTATTCTGTAAAGTATTATTTTAGTTGCATCACGTTGCCTTTGACCGCACATAACTTGCATTGCCCACTCGCGTGGCTATGCTGTGAGCGAGTGGTCACTGGTCAGCGATAACACTGCGACTCGCTTAGCACTGCAGTCACAACCTTGAGGTCGTAAGTTCCATTCCACCGTGTCCCGCCTCTGGTCCCAGCCACCCTCCCCACCCAGCCACCCACCCACACATCCACCCAGCCATCCACACACCCACCCACCCACACACCCGCACACCCACCCACCCTCCCACCCACACACCCGCACACCCACCCACCCTCCCACCCACACACCCGCACACCCACCCACCCTCCCACCCACACACCCGCACACCCACCCACCCTCCCACCCGCACACCCACCCTCCCACCCACACACCCGCACACCCACCCACCCTCCCACCCACACACCCGCACACCCACCCACACACCCACCCTCCCTCCCACCCACCCTCCCACCCACACACCCACCCACCCTCCCTCCCACCCGCACACCCCACCCACCCTCCCTCCCACCTGCACACCCACCCTCCCACCCGCACCCCCACCCACACACCACCCACCCTCCCACCCACACACCACCCACCCTCCCACCCGCACACCCACCCTCCCACCCACACACCCACCCTCCCACCCACACACCCACCCACCCTCCCTCCCACCCACACACCACCCACCCGCACACCCACCCTCCCTCCCACCCGCACACCCACCCTCCCACCCACACACCCACCCACCCTCCCTCCCACCCACACACCACCCACCCGCACACCCACCCTCCCTCCCACCCGCACACCCACCCGCACACCCTTCCACCCACCCAGCTTAGCTGATTGTTGTATTTGTTGATGATGCTGCTTGTTGTTGTTGTTGCTGATGACGCTGTTTTTTTGTTGATGATGATGCTGGTTGTTGCTGTTGTGCTGCTGATGACGCTGGTTGTTGTTGTTGTGTGTGTCGCCCTCACACAGTGGTCTACCTGTTACTCTTCCACGTGCTGTTTGCTGTCTTGGTGTGGTCCTACTGGAAGACGATATTCACAGAGCCACAGGGGCCGTCAGCAGAGGTGAGTGTCTAGTGTGTGTGTGTCTAGTGTGTGTGTGTCTAGTGTGTGTGAGTGTCTAGTGTGTGTGTCTAGTGTGTGTCTAGTGTGTGTGTGTCTAGTGTGTGTGTGTCTAGTGTGTGTGTGTGTCTAGTGTGTGTGTGTGTCTAGTGTGTGTCTAGTGTGTCTAGTGTGTGTGTGTGTCTAGTGTGTGTGTGTGTCTAGTGTGTGTGTGTGTCTAGTGTGTGTGTGTGTCTAGTGTGTGTGTGTCTAGTGTGTTTGTGTCTAGTGTGTGTGTGTCTAGTGTGTGTGTGTCTAGTGTGTGTGTGTCTAGTGTGTGTGAGTGTCTAGTGTGTGTGTGTCTAGTGTGTGTGTGTCTAGTGTGTGTGTGTCTAGTGTGTGTGTGTCTAGTGTGTGTGTGTGTCTAGTGTGTGTGTGTCTAGTGTGTGTGTGTATGTGTCTAGTGTGTGTGTGTGTCTAGTGTGTGTGTCCAGTGTGTGTGTGTCTAGAGTGTGTGTGTCTAGTGTGTGTGTCTAGTGTGTGTGTCTAGTGTGTGTGTCTAGTGTGTGTGTGTTTAGTGTGTGTGTGTGTCTTGTGTGTGTGTCTAGTGTGTGTCTAGTGTGTGTGTGTGTGTGTAGTGTGTCTAGTGTGTGTGTGTCTAGTGTGTGTGTGTCTAGTGTGTGTGTGTCTAGTGTGTGTGTGTCTAGTGTGTGTGTCTAGTGTGTGTGTGTCTAGTGTGTGTGTGTCTAGTGTGTGTGTGTCTAGTGTGTGTGTGTCTAGTGTGTGTGTGTCTAGTGTGTGTGTGTCTAGTGTGTGTGTCTAGTGTGTGTGTGTGTGTGTCTAGTGTGTGTGTGTGTCTAGTGTGTGTGTATGTCTAGTGTGTGTGTCTAGTGTGTGTGTCTAGTGTGTGTGTGTCTAGTGTGTGTGTGTCTAGTGTGTGTGTGTGTGTGTAGTGTGTGTGTCTAGTGTGTGTGTGTCTAGTGTGTGTGTGTCTAGTGTGTGTGTGTCTAGTGTGTGTGTGTGTCTAGTGTGTGTGTGTGTCTAGTGTGTGTGTGTGTCTAGTGTGTGTGTGTGTGTCTAGTGTGTGTGTGTCTAGTGTGTGTGTGTCTAGTGTGTGTGTGTCTAGTGTGTGTGTGTGTGTGTCTAGTGTGTGTGTGTCTAGTGTGTGTGTGTCTAGTGTGTGTGTGTCTAGTGTGTGTGTGTCTAGTGTGTGTGTGTGTGTGTCTAGTGTGTGTGTGTCTAGTGTGTGTGTGTCTTGTGTGTGTGTCTAGTGTGTGTGTGTGTGTAGTGTGTGTGTCTAGTGTGTGTGAGTGTGTGTCTAGTGTGTGTGTGTCTAGTGTGTGTGAGTGTCTAGTGTGTGTGTGTCTAGTGTGTGTGTGTCTAGTGTGTGTGTGTCTAGTGTGTGTGTGTCTAGTGTGTGTGTGTGTCTAGTGTGTGTGTGTGTCTAGTGTGTGTGTGTCTAGTGTGTGTGTGTCTAGTGTGTGTGTGTGTCTAGTGTGTGTGTGTGTGTCTAGTGTGTGTGTGTGTCTAGTGTGTGTGTGTGTCTAGTGTGTGTGTGTGTCTAGTGTGTGTGTGTGTCTAGTGTGTGTGTGTGTCTAGTGTGTGTGTGTGTCTAGTGTGTGTGTGTGTCTAGTGTGTGTGTCTAGTGTGTGTGTTGTGTGTGTGTGTCTAGTGTGTGTGTGTCTAGTGTGTGTGTGTCTAGTGTGTGTGTGTCTAGTGTGTGTGTGTCTAGTGTGTGTGTCTAGTGTGTGTCTAGTGTGTGTGTGTCTAGTGTGTGTGTGTGTCTAGTGTGTGTGTGTGTCTAGTGGGTGTGAGTGTCTAGTGTGTGTGAGTGTCTAGTGTGTGTGTGTCTAGTGTGTGTGTGTGTGTGTCTAGTGTGTGTGTGTCTAGTGTGTGTGTGTCTTGTGTGTGTGTCTAGTGTGTGTGTGTAGTGTGTGTGTCTAGTGTGTGTGAGTGTGTGTCTAGTGTGTGTGTGTCTAGTGTGTGTGAGTGTCTAGTGTGTGTGTGTATAGTGTGTGTGTGTCTAGTGTGTGTGTGTCTAGTGTGTGTGTGTGTCTAGTGTGTGTGTGTGTCTAGTGTGTGTCTAGTGTGTGTGTGTCTAGTGTGTGTGTCTAGTGTGTGTGTCTAGTGTGTGTGTGTTTAGTGTGTGTGTGTGTCTTGTGTGTGTGTCTAGTGTGTGTGAGTGTCTAGTGTGTGTGTGTAGTGTGTGTGTGTCTAGTGTGTGTGTGTCTAGTGTGTGTGTGTCTAGTGTGTGTGTGTCTAGTGTGTGTGTGTCTAGTGTGTGTCTAGTGTGTGTGTCTAGTGTGTGTGTGTCTAGTGTGTGTGTGTCTAGTGTGTGTGTGTCTAGTGTGTGTGTGTCTAGTGTGTGTCTAGTGTGTGTGTCTAGTGTGTGTGTGTCTAGTGTGTGTGTGTCTAGTGTGTGTGTCTAGTGTGTGTGTGTGTGTCTAGTGTGTGTGTGTGTCTAGTGTGTGTGTGTGTCTAGTGTGTGTGTCTAGTGTGTGTGTCTACTGTGTGTGTGTCTAGTGTGTGTGTGTCTAGTGTGTGTGTGTGTGTAGTGTGTGTGTCTAGTGTGTGTGTGTCTAGTGTGTGTGTGTGTCTAGTGTGTGTGTGTGTCTAGTGTGTGTGTGTGTGTCTAGTGGGTGTGTGTGTGTCTAGTGTGTGTGTGTCTAGTGTGTGTGTGTCTAGTGTGTGTGTGTCTAGTGTGTGTGTGTCTAGTGTGTGTGTGTGTGTGTCTAGTGTGTGTGTGTCTAGTGTGTGTGTGTCTTGTGTGTGTGTCTAGTGTGTGTGTGTGTGTAGTGTGTGTGAGTGTGTGTCTAGTGTGTGTGTGTCTAGTGTGTGTGAGTGTATAGTGTGTGTGTGTCTAGTGTGTGTGTGTCTAGTGTGTGTGTGTGTCTAGTGTGTGTGTGTGTCTAGTGTGTGTGTGTGTCTAGTGTGTGTCTAGTGTGTGTCTAGTGTGTGTGTGTCTAGTGTGTGTGTGTGTCTAGTGTGTGTGTGTGTCTAGTGTGTGTGTGTGTGTCTAGTGTGTGTGTGTGTCTAGTGTGTGTGTGTGTCTAGTGTGTGTGTGTGTCTAGTGTGTGTGTGTGTCTAGTGTGTGTGTGTGTCTAGTGTGTGTGTGTGTCTAGTGTGTGTGTGTGTCTAGTGTGTGTGTCTAGTGTGTGTGTTGAGTGGGTGTGTGTGTGTCTAGTGTGTGTGTGTCTAGTGTGTGTGTGTCTAGTGTGTGTGTGTCTAGTGTGTGTGTGTCTAGTGTGTGTCTAGTGTGTGTGTGTCTAGTGTGTGTGTGTGTCTAGTGTGTGTGTGTGTCTAGTGGGTGTGAGTGTCTAGTGTGTGTGAGTGTCTAGTGTGTGTGTGTCTAGTGTGTGTGTGTGTGTGTCTAGTGTGTGTGTGTCTAGTGTGTGTGTGTCTTGTGTGTGTGTCTAGTGTGTGTGTGTGTGTTGTGTGTGTGTCTAGTGTGTGTGAGTGTGTGTCTAGTGTGTGTGTGTCTAGTGTGTGTGAGTGTCTAGTGTGTGTGTGTATAGTGTGTGTGTGTCTAGTGTGTGTGTGTCTAGTGTGTGTGTGTGTCTAGTGTGTGTGTGTGTCTAGTGTGTGTCTAGTGTGTGTGTGTCTAGTGTGTGTGTGTCTAGTGTGTGTGTGTGTCTAGTGTGTGTGTGTGTCTAGTGTGTGTGTGTGTCTAGTGTGTGTGTGTGTCTAGTGTGTGTGTGTGTCTAGTGTGTGTGTGTGTCTAGTGTGTGTGTGTGTCTAGTGTGTGTGTGTGTCTAGTGTGTGTGTGTGTCTAGTGTGTGTGTTGTGTGTGTGTGTCTAGTGTGTGTGTGTCTAGTGTGTGTGTGTCTAGTGTGTGTGTGTCTAGTGTGTGTGTCTAGTGTGTGTGTCTAGTGTGTGTCTAGTGTGTGTGTGTCTAGTGTGTGTGTGTGTCTAGTGTGTGTGTGTGTCTAGTGGGTGTGAGTGTCTAGTGTGTGTGTGTCTAGTGTGTGTGTGTGTAGTGTGTGTGTGTCTAGTGTGTGTGTGTGTGTGTCTAGTGTGTGTCTAGTGTGTGTGTGTCTAGTGTGTGTGTGTCTAGTGTGTGTGTCTAGTGTGTGTCTAGTGTGTGTGTCTAGTGTGTGTGTCTAGTGTGTGTGTCTAGTGTGTGTGTGTGAGAGTGTGTGTGTGTCTAGTGTGTGTGTGTCTAGTGTGTGTGTGTCTAGTGTGTGAGTGTCTAGTGTGTGTGTGTCTAGTGTGTGTGTGTCTAGTGTGTGTGTGTCTAGTGTGTGTGTGTCTAGTGTGTGTGTGTCTAGTGTGTGTGTGTGTCTAGTGTGTGTGTGAGTGTCTACTGTGTGTGTCTAGTGTGTGTGTGTCTTGTGTGTGTGTCTAGTGTGTGTGTGTGTGTAGTGTGTGTGTCTAGTGTGTGTGAGTGTGTGTCTAGTGTGTGTGTGTCTAGTGTGTGTGAGTGTCTAGTGTGTGTGTGTATAGTGTGTGTGTGTCTAGTGTGTGTGTGTCTAGTGTGTGTGTGTGTCTAGTGTGTGTGTGTGTCTAGTGTGTGTCTAGTGTGTGTGTGTCTAGTGTGTGTGTGTCTAGTGTGTGTGTGTGTCTAGTGTGTGTGTGTGTCTAGTGTGTGTGTGTGTCTAGTGTGTGTGTGTGTCTAGTGTGTGTGTGTGTCTAGTGTGTGTGTGTGTCTAGTGTGTGTGTGTGTCTAGTGTGTGTGTGTGTCTAGTGTGTGTGTGTGTCTAGTGTGTGTGTTGTGTGTGTGTGTCTAGTGTGTGTGTGTCTAGTGTGTGTGTGTCTAGTGTGTGTGTGTCTAGTGTGTGTGTCTAGTGTGTGTGTCTAGTGTGTGTCTAGTGTGTGTGTGTCTAGTGTGTGTGTGTGTCTAGTGTGTGTGTGTGTCTAGTGGGTGTGAGTGTCTAGTGTGTGTGTGTCTAGTGTGTGTGTGTGTAGTGTGTGTGTGTCTAGTGTGTGTGTGTGTGTGTCTAGTGTGTGTCTAGTGTGTGTGTGTCTAGTGTGTGTGTGTCTAGTGTGTGTGTCTAGTGTGTGTCTAGTGTGTGTGTCTAGTGTGTGTGTCTAGTGTGTGTGTCTAGTGTGTGTGTGTGAGAGTGTGTGTGTGTCTAGTGTGTGTGTGTCTAGTGTGTGTGTGTCTAGTGTGTGAGTGTCTAGTGTGTGTGTGTCTAGTGTGTGTGTGTCTAGTGTGTGTGTGTCTAGTGTGTGTGTGTCTAGTGTGTGTGTGTGTCTAGTGTGTGTGTGAGTGTCTACTGTGTGTGTCTAGTGTGTGTGTGTGTGTCTAGAGTGTGTGTGGTGTTTGTCTGTGTGTGTGTGAGAGTGTCTAGTGTGTGTGTGAGAGTGTGTGTGGTGTTTGTCTGTGTGTGTGTGAGAGCGATAGTGTAGCGGTTAGCGCGCTGCGCTATGAACCTGGCGACCCGGGTTCGATTCCCGCTTATGGCCAACACCAGTGACGATTATCTGAACCGGTCCCGGGCCTCCCCTAGGTCGACTCAGCCTCAAATGAGTACCTGGTGCGGTGTGTAAACATTGCCACTGGGGAGACAAAGGCGGTCGGGCGTGGTGCTGGCCACCCACCCCCTCGTGTACCGTTCCAGCCTTCATAGGTGCTCGCTAACAGCACTTGCCCCTACGGTCTGTTAAGGCTACACGGGGGATCTTTGTCTTTTGTGGTGTTTATCTGTGTGTGTGTGAGAGTGTGTGTGTCTCTTGTGTGTCTATTGTGTGTCTAGTGTGTGTGTGAGTGTCTGTGTGTGTGTCTAGTGTGTGTGTGAGTGTCTGTGTGTGTGTCTAGTGTGTGTGTGAGTGTCTTTGTGTGTGTCTAGAGTGTGTGTGGTGTCTGTGTGTGGGGAACGGCAGTGCAGCGGTTTGCGCTCCGCGCTCCGAACCCGGCCACCCATCACGGTGCCGATGATTTTTTTTAAACCAGTCCTGGGCCTCCCCTAGGTCGACTCAGCCTCAACTGAGTACCTGCTGCAATAGTGTGTAAACATCGCCACTGGGGAGACAAAGGTGGCCGGGCGGGCGTGAGCACCGCTGTGCCATCGTCGCCGCCACCACCTCCTAGCCATGCTAATTAGCGCCTCGTTAATAATTAACGAGCCATGCCAGGTGGCTCATTAATTGGTAATTTACAAATCCATACCCCCCCCTCCCCAACTCGGAGCGTTCGATTCACCAGCTCATGGCCACCAAACATCTCTCAGGATGGTCCGCATGGGTTCCTGCGCCTCCTCCCTCGGCCCAGCGAGACGAGCGTGATCTCGGCACGATTGTCATCATTGTGATGACGGCCTGGGCGGACTTGTCTTGAGATGGTGTCTTCATTTGTGGAGCCACGTGCTCACACTCGGACAGGCGGAGACCCCCACCGCAACAGCCCCGAGTCTCCCGCGCATCTCCCTTATATACGGTCCGAGGCCACGCCCCCAATCCCGAACCTTCTCGCTGGTTCGAGACCGCTCGCTCCGCCGGCAGACTCCACCGTCCTCTTGCCCTGTCATTAGCTCCCGTGGCCACCAGTCCCTTCACACTGCAGGCTGACTCCCCTGTCATTACCCCCCATGGCCACCAGTCCCTTCGCACTGCAGGCTGACTCCCCTGTCATTACCTCCCATGGCCACTAGTCCACTCGCACTGCAGGCTGACTCCCCTGTCATTACCTCCCATGGCCACTAGTCCCTTCACACTGCAGGCTGACTCCCCTGTCATTACCTCCCATGGCCACTAGTCCACTCGCACTGCAGGCTGACTCCCCTGTCATTACCTCCCGTGACCACCGGTCCACTCACACTGCAGGCTGACTCCCCTGTCATTACCTCCCGTGGCCACCAGTCCATTCGCACTGCAGGCTCACTCCCCTGTCATTACCTCCTGTGGCCACCAGTCCACTCGCACTGCAGGCTGACTCCTCTGTCATTACCCCCCCTGGCCACTAGTCCACTCGCACTGCAGGCTGACTCCTCTGTCATTACCCCCCGTGGCCACTAGTCCACTCGCACTGCAGGCTGACTCCCCTGTCATTACCTCCCGTGGCCACCAGTCCACTCGTACTGCAGGCTGACTCTACTGTCACTACACAATTATAATTCACACGAAGCCGGATTTAGTTTTATGTTGTTATAAGAGATGTAAACTGGAAGGGTAGCACTGCACTTGCCCCAAACAGCTTGTGTGGGCTACATGCAGGGCGGATCTTTACCTTTGCCTCTTTCCCCCCGTGCCCCCCCCCCCTCGTGCCCCCCCCCTCGTGCCCCCCCCCTCCCCCCGCGTGCCCCCAGTTCTCGTTGCCGTACACGGAGCGCGAGCTGCTGGAGAGGGAGGGCCGGGAGGACGGGCGCCACGAGATCCTCCAACGGGCGGCCGCGTCGCTACCTCTGCACACGCGGACGCTGGCAGGGGGTGATGACTACACACACGGGCACGCACGCACAAAGACAAAGATCCCCCGTGTAGCCTTAACAGACTGCAGGGGCAAGTGCTGTTAGCGAGCACCCTGTGAAGGCCGGAACGGCACACGAGGGGGTGGGTGGCCAGCACCATGTCCGGCTCACGCTCCTCACCCACGCTCCTCACCCACGCTCCTCACCCACGCTCCTCACCCACGCTCCTCACCCACGCTCCTCACCCACGCTCCTCACCCACGCTCCTCACCCACGCTCCTCACCCACACTCCTCACCCACGCCCACGCTCCTCACCCACGCTCCTCACCCACGCCCACGCTCCTCACCCACGCTCCTCACCCACGCTCCTCACCCACGCTCCTCACCCACGCTCCTCACCCACGCTCCTCACCCACGCTCCTCACCACGCTCCTCACCCACGCCCACGCTCCTCACCCACGCTCCTCACCCACGCCCACGCTCCTCACCCACGCTCCTCACCCACGTTCCTCTCCCACGCTCCTCACCCACGCTCCTCACCCACGCTCCTCACCCACGCTCCTCACCCACGCTCCTCACCCACGCTCCTCACCCACACTCCTCACCCACGCCCACGCTCCTCACCCACGCTCCTCACCCACGCTCCTCACCCACGCTCCTCACCCACGCTCCTCACCCACGCTCCTCACCCACGCTCCTCACCCACGCTCCTCACCCACGCTCCTCACCCACACTCCTCACCCACGCCCACGCTCCTCACCCACGCTCCTCACCCACGCCCACGCTCCTCACCCACGCTCCTCACCCACGTTCCTCACCCACGCTCCTCACCCACGCTCCTCACCCACGCTCCTCACCCACGCTCCTCACCCACGCTCCTCACCCACGCTCCTCACCCACGCTCCTCACCCACGCCCACGCTCCTCACCCACGCTCCTCACCCACGCCCACGCTCCTCACCCACGCTCCTCACCCACGTTCCTCAACCACGCTCCTCACCCACGCTCCTCACCCACGCTCCACACCCACGCTCCTCACCCACGCTCCTCACCCACGCTCCTCACCCACACTCCTCACCCACGCCCACGCTCCTCACCCACGCTCCTCACCCACGCCCACGCTCCTCACCCACGCTCCTCACCCACGCTCCTCACCCACGCTCCTCACCCACGCTCCTCACCCACGCTCCTCACCCACGCTCCTCACCCACGCTCCTCCCCCACGCTCCTCACCCACGCTCCTCACCCACGCTCCTCACCCACGCTCCTCACCCACGCTCCTCACCCACCCCCCCCCCTCTCTCTCTGCAGCCATCCGCTACTGTGAGAAGTGCAACCTCATCAAGCCGGACCGCTGCCACCACTGCTCCACTTGCGAAGCGTGAGTACCCCTCCCACCACCCCTCCTGTCACCCCCCCCCATCACCCATCACCCCTCACCCCTCCCATCACCCCTCCCATCACCCCTCCCACCACCCCTCCCATCACCCCCCCCATCACCCCTCACCCCTCCCACCACCCCTCCTGTCACCCCTCCCATCACCCCCCCCCCATCACCCATCACCCCTCACCCCTCCCATCACCCCTCCCACCACCCCTCCTGTCACCCCTCCCACCACCCCTCCCATCACCCCTCACCCCTCCCATCACCCCTCCTGTCACCCCTCACCCCTCCCATCACCCCTCCCACCACCCCTCCCATCACCCCTCCCATCACCCCTCCCATCACCCCTCCCATCACCCATCACCCCTCCCACCACCCCTCCCATCACCCCTCCCACCACCCCTCCCATCACCCCTCACCCCTCCCATCACCCCTCCTGTCACCCCTCACCCCTCCCATCACCCCTCCCACCACCCCTCCCATCACCCCTCCCATCACCCCTCCCATCACCCCTCCCATCACCCATCACCCCTCCCATCACCCCTCCCATCACCCCTCCCATCACCCCTCCCATCACCCCTCCCACCACCCCTCCCATCACCCCTCCCACCACCCATCACCCCTCCCACCACCCCTCCTGTCACCCCTCCCATCACCCCTCCCATCACCCCTCCCATCACCCATCACCCCTCCCATCACCCCTCCCATCACCCCTCCCATCACCCCTCCCATCACCCCTCCCATCACCCCTCCCATCACCCATCACCCCTCCTATCACCCCACCCCATCTCCCATCACCCCTCACCCCTCCCATCACCCCTCCCACCACCCCTCCTGTCACCCCTCCCACCACCCCTCCCATCACCCCTCACCCCTCCCATCACCCCTCCTGTCACCCCTCCCATCACCCCTCCCACCACCCCTCCCATCACCCCTCCCATCACCCATCACCCCTCCCATCACCCCCCCCCCATCACCCATCACCCCTCACCCCTCCCATCACCCCTCCCATCACCCCTCCCATCACCCATCACCCCTCCCATCACCCCTCCCATCACCCCTCCCACCACCCATCACCCCTCCCACCACCCCTCCTGTCACCCCTCCCATCACCCCTCCCATCACCCCTCCATCACCCATCACCCCTCCCATCACCCCTCCCATCACCCCTCCCATCACCCCTCCCATCACCCCTCCCATCACCCCTCCCATCACCCCTCCCATCACCCATCACCCCTCACCCCTCCCATCACCCCTCCCACCACCCCCCCCCCATCACCCATCACCCCTCACCCCTCCCATCACCCCTCCCACCACCCCTCCTGTCACCCCTCCCACCACCCCTCCCATCACCCCTCACCCCTCCCATCACCCCTCCTGTCACCCCTCACCCCTCCCATCACCCCTCCCACCACCCCTCCCATCACCCCTCCCATCACCCATCACCCCTCCCATCACCCCCCCCCCCCATCACCCATCACCCCTCACCCCTCCCATCACCCCTCCCCCCACCCCTCCTGTCACCCCTCCCACCACCCCTCCCATCACCCCTCACCCCTCCCATCACCCCTCCTGTCACCCCTCACCCCTCCCATCACCCCTCCCATCACCCCTCCCATCACCCCTCCCACCACCCCTCCCATCACCCCTCCCATCACCCCTCCCATCACCCCTCCCATCACCCCTCCCATCACCCCTCCCACCACCCCTCCCATCACCCCTCCCACCACCCATCACCCCTCCCACCACCCCTCCTGTCACCCCTCCCATCACCCATCACCCCTCCCATCACCCCTCCCATCACCCCTCCCACCACCCCTCCCATCACCCATCACCCCTCCCATCACCCCTCCCATCACCCCTCCCATCACCCATCACCCCTCCCATCACCCCTCCCATCACCCCTCCCATCACCCCTCCCATCACCCATCACCCCTCCCATCACCCCTCCCATCACCCCTCCCATCACCCCTCCCTGTCACCCCCCCCTGTCACCAACCCCCCCCCCGTCTCCCATCACCCCCCCCCTGTCTCCCACCACCCCCCCCCCCGTCTCCCATCACCCCCCCCGTCTCCCATCACCCCCCCCCCCTGACTGCCATCACCCCCCCCCCTGTCTCCCATCACCCCCCCCCTGTCTCCCACCACCCCCCCCCCCCGTCTCCCATCACCACCCTTCCTGTCTCCAATGTCTCACTCCCTGTGTCTGTGTCTCCCTGTCTCCCTCCAGGTGTATCTTGAAGATGGACCATCATTGCCCATGGTACACACACAGACACGAACACACACATACAAAGACAAAGATCCCCCGTGTAGCCTGTAACAGGCTGTTGGGGCAAGTGCTGTTAGCGAGCAGCACCTGTGAAGGCCGGCACGGCACACGAGGGGGTGGGTGGCCAGCACCACGCCCGGCCGCCTTTGTCTCCCCAGTTTACTACACACCGCACCAGGTACTCATTTGAGGCTGAGTCGACCTAGGGGAGGCTCAGGACCGGTTAAGATGATCGTCACTGGTGTTGGCCGTGAGCGGGAATCGAACCCAGGTCGCCAGGTTCATAGCGCAGCGTAGCGCTAACCAACCTGAACACTCATCACTTTGTCATTAACCAACCTGAACACTCATCACCCTGTCATTAACCAACCTGAACACTCATCACCCTGTAATTAACAACCTGAACACTCATCACCTTGTCATTAACAACCTGAACACTCATCACCCTGTCATTAACCAACCTGAACACTCATCACCCTGTCACTAACCAACCTGAACACTCATCACCCTGTCACTAACCAACCTGAACACTCATCACCCTGTCATTAACAACCTGAACACTCATCGCCTTGTCATTAACCAACCTGAACACTCATCACCCTGTCATTAACAACCTGAACACTCATCACCTTGTCATTAACAACCTGAACACTCATCACCCTGTCATTAACCAACCTGAACACTCATCGCCTTGTCATTAACCAACCTGAACACTCATCACCCTGTCATTAACAACCTGAACACTCATCACCTTGTCATTAACAACCTGAACACTCATCACTTCGTCACTAACCAACCTGAACACTCATCACCTTGTCATGAACCAACCTGAACACTCATCACCCTGTCACTAACCAACCTGAACACTCATCACCTTGTCATTAACAACCTGAACACTCATCACCCTGTCACTAACCAACCTGAACACTCATCACCCTGTCATTAACCAACCTGAACACTGATCACGCTGTCATTAACCAACCTGAACACTCATCACGCTGTCATTAACCAACCTGAACACTCATCACCTCGTAAATAACCAACCTGAACACTCATCACTTCGTCACTAACCAACCTGAACACTCATCACCTTGTCATTAACCAACCTGAACACTCATCACCCTGTCACTAACCAACCTGAACACTCATCACCTTGTCATTAACAACCTGAACACTCATCACCCTGTCACTAACCAACCTGAACACTCATCACCCTGTCATTAACCAACCTGAACACTGATCACGCTGTCATTAACCAACCTGAACACTCATCACGCTGTCATTAACCAACCTGAACACTCATCACCTCGTAAATAACCAACCTGAACACTCATCACTTCGTCATTAACCAACTTGAACACTCATCACCCTGTCACTAACAAACCTGAACACTCATCACCCTGTCATTAACAACTGAACGATTATCACCTTGTCATTAACCAACCTGAACACTCATCACCCTGTCATTAACCAACCTGAACACTCATCACGCTGTCATTAACCAACCTGAACACTCATCACCTCGTCATTAACCAACCTGAACACTCATGATCCTGTCATTAACCCACCTGAACACTCATCACCCTGTCACTAACCAACCTGAACACTCATCACCTCGTCACTAACCAACCTGAACACTCATCACCCTGTCATTAACCAACCTGAACACTCATCACCTCGTCACTAACCAACCTGAACACTCATCACCCTGTCATTAACCAACCTGAACACTCATCACCCTGTCACTAACCAACCTGAACACTCATCACCTTGTCATTAACAACCTGAACACTCATCACCCTGTCACTAACCAACCTGAACACTCATCACCCTGTCATTAACCAACCTGAACACTGATCACGCTGTCATTAACCAACCTGAACACTCATCACCTCGTAAATAACCAACCTGAACACTCATCACTTCGTCATTAACCAACTTGAACACTCATCACCCTGTCACTAACAAACCTGAACACTCATCACCCTGTCATTAACAACTGAACAATTATCACCTTGTCATTAACCAACCTGAACACTCATCACCCTGTCACTAACCAACCTGAACACTCATCGCCCTGTCATTAACAACCTGAACACTCATAACCTTGTCATTAACCAACCTGAACACTCATCACCCTGTCACTAACCAACCTGCTCATCACCCTGTCACTAACCAACCTGAACACTCATAACCTTGTCATTAACCAACCTGAACACTCATCACCCTGTCACTAACCAACCTGAACACTCATCACCCTGTCACTAACCAACCTGAACACTCATCACCCTGTCACTAACCAACCTGAACACTCATCACCCTGTCACTAACCAACCTGAACACTCATCACCCTGTCACTAACCAACCTGAACACTCATCACCTTGTCATTAACCAACCTGAACACTCATCACCCTGTCACTAACCAACCTGAACACTCATCACCCTGTCACTAACCAACCTGAACACTCATCACCCTGTCACTAACCAACCTGAACACTCATCACCCTGTCACTAACTAACCTGAACACTCATCACCTCGTCGTTAACCAACCTGAACACTCATCACCCTGTCACTAACCAACCTGAACACTCATCACCCTGTCGCTAACCAACCTGAACACTCATCACCCTGTCACTAACCAACCTGAACACTCATCACTTTGTCATTAACCAACCTGAACACTCATCACCCTGTCGCTAACCAACCTGAACACTCATCACCTCGTCGTTAAACAACCTGAACACTCATCACCCTGTAACTAACCAACCTGAACACTCATCACACACTTCCTGAACACTCATCACCCTGTCATTAACCAACCTGAACACTCATCACCTCGTCGTTAACCAACCTGAACACTCATCACCCTGTCACTAATCAACCTGAACACTCATCACACACTTCCTGAACACGGCCACTCCCTGAGAGAGAGAAACCCTTGAACCCATGATCTTCAGTATCATCTTTGGCGTGAGCCTGAACCAACCTACTTGTCCTCCGTCCCCCGCCCCCTCTAGGGTGAACAACTGCGTGGGGTTTGCCAACTACAAGTTCTTTGTGCTCTTCCTGGCCTACTCGCTCCTCTACTGCGTGTACGTGTCCGCCACTGTGCTGCAGTACTTTCTCATGTTCTGGAGGGTGAGTACGCGGGTGAGTACACGCACGCGTGCGTGTGTGTGTGTGCGTGTGTGTGCGTGTGTGTGTGTGTGCGTGTGCGTGTGTGTGTGTGTGCGTGTGTGTGTGTGTGCGTGTGTGTGTGTGTGCGTGTGTGTGCGTGTGTGTGTGCGCGTGTGTGTGTGTGTGCGTGCGTGTGTATGTGTGTGTGCGTCTGTACGTGTGTGTGTGTGCGTGTGTGTGCGTGCGTGTGTGTGTGTGTGTGTGCGTGCGTGTGTGTGTGTGCATGTGTGTGCGTGCGTGTGCGTGTGTGTGTGTGCGTGAGGATGGGGAGCGGTGGCGCAACGGTTAGCGCTACGCTGCGCTACAAACCCGGCCACCCGGGTTCGATTCCCACTCACGGCCAACACCGGTGACGATTATCTGAACCGGTCCTGGGCCTCCCCTAGGTCGACTCAGCCTCGAATAAGTACCTGGTGCGGTGTGTAGTAAACATCGCCACTGGGGAGACAAAGGCGGTCGGGCATGGTGCTGGCCTTCATAGGTACTCGCTAACAGCACTTGCCCCTACAGTCTGTTACAGGCTACACGGGGGATCTTTGTCTTTTATCTTTGTGTGAGGATGTGGAGCTGAGTGGGCTTGCCGATGACCGGTACCAGTGGTGTCAAGATCGGCCTCTGTGGAGGAGGCTCGTGAAGGACGCCGCTACTGGGTGGTGCCAGGCTAGGTGCACCTTGAGGAGACTACTGGGCAGTGCCAGGCTAGGTGCACATTGAGGAGGCTACTGGGCAGTGCCAGGCTAGGTGCACCTTGAGATTACTGGACAGGTGAAGGCAGTCGCCCTCCAGCAGAAACGGAGGGCGGAGGAGCGACGCTCACAACAACGAGCGGAGCGCCGGGTGGCTAAAGCACATCGAGTTGGCACAGTAGGGGGCACGGGTGGTGCATCAGCCAGTCGTCTCAGTCAGTCGACCCGTGGCACCTGCCGGGTCTGCCCCGTGACCTCCTGCCGGTGGGCGTTCGAGAGAGAGAGAGAAACAAGCGGACTCCCAAATATACAGCAGTCGTTAGGGTCGAGATCGAACCCAAGAGCTCTCCTGTAGGCCAGGTGAGGTAGTTAACATCGGGATCGAACCCACGACCTCCTGGTACACCAGGCGAGGTAGTTCACGTCTCCTATCCGCAGCGGCGCCCTTGCCCCAGCGTCCTGTGTGAGGCTTCACGGGGGACCTTTGCCTGTGCTACAGAGCGCCCTGCCCGACGACCAGGCAAAGTTCCACGTCCTCTTCCTCTTCTTCGCCGGCGTCATCTTCGGGGTGAGCGTCGTGTCGCTCTTTGGGTACCACTGCTGGCTCGTGTGCAAGAACCGCTCCACCCTGGGTACCCGCTCACCTGTCCGCTCGCCCGCTCACCCACTCACCCGCTCACCCACCCACTCGCCCACCCGCTCACCCGCTCACCCGCTCACTCGCTCACCCGCTCACCTGCCCGCTCACACGCTCGCCCACTCGCTCGCCCGCCCACTCGCTGGCTCACTCGCTCACCCGCCCGCTCACTCGCTCATCCGCTCACTCTCTCGTCCGCCCGCTCATCCGCTCACCGCCCGCTCACCGCCCGCTCACCCGCTCATCCGCTCACCTGCTCGCTCGTTCAACCACTCGTTTAATCAATCGCTCGCTCGGTCGCTCACTCGTTTAATCGATCGCTCGCTCGGTCGATCGCTCATTTAATCAATCGCTCGGTCGATCGCTCATTTACTCGCCCGTCAATTCACCCACTCGATCGCTCGCCCGCCCGCCCGCTCGCCCGTCCGCTCACCCGCACGCCCCCGTGTGGCCCCCGTGTCGCCCCCGTGTCGCCCCGCGCTCTGTGGTGTTCCAAGAGGCGTTCCGGGCACCCATCTTCAGGCACGGCCCCGACAAGAACGGATTCAACCTGGGTGTGCGCAAGAACGTTGAGCAGGTGTTTGGGGACCAGGCCAGGTACTGGATCCTGCCTGTACCTAGCAGGTGGGACCTCGCTCACACTCACTACCACTCACTAACTCACACTAACACTCACTCACACTAACACTCACACATGAGAGCAGGTGTTTGGGGACCAGGCCAGGTACTGGATCCTGCCTGTACCCAGCAGGTGGGACCTCGCTCACACTCACTAACACTCACTAACTCACACTAACACTCACACTCACTAACACTCACTCACACTAACTCACACTAACACTCACACATGAGAGCAGGTGTTTGGGGACCAGGCCAGGTACTGGATCCTGCCTGTACCTAGCAGGTGGGACCTCGCTCACACTCACTAACACTCACTAACTCACACTAACACTCACACTCACTAACACTCACTCACACTCACTCACTCACACTAACACTCACACATGAGAGCAGGTGTTTGGGGACCAGGCCAGGTACTGGATCCTGCCTGTACCCAGCAGGTGGGACCTCGCTCACACTCACTAACACTCACTAACTCACACTAACACTCACACTCACTAACACTCACTCACACTAACACTCACACTAACTCACACTAACACTCACACATGAGAGCAGGTGTTTGGGGACCAGGCCAGGTACTGGATCCTGCCTGTACCTAGCAGGTGGGACCTCGCTCACACTCACTACCACTCACTCACACTAACACTCACACTCGCTAACACTCACTCACACTCACTAACACTCACTAACACATGAGAGCAGGTGTTTGGGGACCAGGCCAGGTACTGGATCCTACCCCTACCCAGCAGGTGGGACCTCGCTATCACTCGCTACCACTCACTCACTCACTCACACTAACACTCACACTCACTCACACTAACACTCACTAACTCACACTAACACTCACACTAACACTAACACTCACTAACTCACACTAACACTCACTAACTCACACTCACTCACTAACTCACACTAACACTCACACATGAGAGCAGGTGTTTGGGGACCAGGCCAGGTACTGGATCCTGCCCCTACCCAGCAGGTGGGACCTCGCTCACACTCACTAACACTCACTAACTCACACTAACACTAACACTCACTCACACTAACACTCACACATGAGAGCAGGTGTTTGGGGACCAGGCCAGGTACTGGATCCTGCCCGTACCCAGCAGGTGGGACCTCGCTCACACTCACTCACACTCACTCACACTCACTCACTCGCTCACTAACTCACACTAACACTTACACTAACACATGAGAGCAGGTGTTTGGGGACCAGGCCAGGTACTGGATCCTGCCCGTACCCAGCAGGTGGGACCTCGCTCACAATCACTACCACTCACTCACTCGCACTCACTACCACTCGCTCACTCGCACTCACACTCACTCACTCACACTCACTCACTAACTCACACTAACACTCACACTAACACTCACATATGAGAGCAGGTGTTTGGGGACCAGGCCAGGTACTGGATCCTGCCCGTACCCAGCAGGTGGGACCTCGCTATCACTCGCTACCACTCACTAACTCACACTAACACTCGCTCACACTCACTCACTCACTAACTCACACTAACACTCACACTAACACTCACACTAACACTCACACATGAGAGCAGGTGTTTGGGGACCAGGCCAGGTACTGGATCCTGCCCGTACCCAGCAGGTGGGACCTCGCTCACACTCACTAACACTCACTAACTCACACTAACACTCACACTCACTCACACTAACACTCACACATGAGAGCAGGTGTTTGGGGACCAGGCCAGGTACTGGATCCTGCCCCTACCCAGCAGGTGGGACCTCGCTCACACTCACTAACACTAACACTCACTAACTCACACTAACACTCACTCACACTCACTCACTCACACTCACTAACTCACTCACTAACACTCACTCGCACTCACACTCACTCACACTAACACTCACACATGAGAGCAGGTGTTTGGGGACCAGGCCAGGTACTGGATCCTGCCCGTACCCAGCAGGTGGGACCTCGCTCACACTCACTAACACTCACTAACACTCACTCACACTAACACTCACACTCACTCACACTAACGCTCGCTCACACTAACACTCACTCACACTAACACTCACACATGAGAGCAGGTGTTTGGGGACCAGGCCAGGTACTGGATCCTGCCCGTACCCAGCAGGTGGGACCTCGCTCACACTCACTAACACTCACTAACTCACTAACTCACTCACTAACTCACACTAACACTAACACATGAGAGCAGGTGTTTGGGGACCAGGCCAGGTACTGGATCCTGCCTGTACCCAGCAGGTGGGACCCTCGCTCACAATCACTAACACTCACTCACACTCACTAACTCACTCGCTCGCTCACACTCACTCACTAACTCACACTAACACTCACACATGAGAGCAGGTGTTTGGGGACCAGGCCAGGTACTGGATCCTGCCCGTACCCAGCAGGTGGGACCTCGCTCGCACTCGCTACCACTCGCTCACTCGCACTCACTACCACTCGCTCACTCGCACTCACACTCACTCACTCACACTCACTCACTCACTAACTCACACTAACACTTACACTAACACTAACACATGAGAGCAGGTGTTTGGGGACCAGGCCAGGTACTGGATCCTGCCCGTACCCAGCAGGTGGGACCTCGCTCACACTCACTACCACTCACTCACACTCACTCGCTCGCTCACACTCACTCACTCGCTCGCTCACACTCACTCACTCGCTCGCTCACACTCACTCACTGACAATCACACTCACTGACAATCACACTCACTCTCACACTCACTCGCTCTCACACTCACTCGCTCACACTCACTGACACTCACACTCACTGACAATTACTCACTCACTCTCACTCACTCACACTCACACTCACTCACACTCGCTCACTCGCACTCGCTCACACTCACTCACACTCACTCACACTCACTCACTAACTCACACTAACACTCACACATGAGAGCAGGTGTTTGGGGACCAGGCCAGGTACTGGATCCTGCCCCTACCCAGCAGGTGGGACCTCGCTCACACTCACTACCACTCACTCACACTCACTCGCTCACACTCACTCACTCGCTCGCTCACACTCACTCACTGACAATCACACTCACTGACAATCACACTCGCTCTCACACTCACTCGCTCACACTCACTGACACTCACACTCACTGACAATTACTCACTCACTCTCACTCACTCACTCGCACTCACACTCACTCACTCACACTCGCTCACTCGCACTCGCTCACACTCACTCACACTCACTCACACTCACTCACTAACTCACACTAACACTCACACATGAGAGCAGGTGTTTGGGGACCAGGCCAGGTACTGGATCCTGCCCCTACCCAGCAGGTGGGACCTCGCTCACACTCACTACCACTCACTCACACTCACTCGCTCGCTCACACTCACTCACTCGCTCACTCACACTCACTCACTGACAATCACACTCACTGACAATCACACTCGCTCTCACACTCACTCGCTCACACTCACTGACACTCACACTCACTGACAATTACTCACTCACTCTCACTCACTCACTCGCACTCACACTCACTCACTCACACTCGCTCACTCGCACTCGCTCACACTCACTCACACTCACTCACACTCACTCACACTAACACTCACACATGAGAGCAGGTGTTTGGGGACCAGGCCAGGTACTGGATCCTGCCCGTACCCAGCAGGTGGGACCTCGCTCACACTCACTAACACTCACTAACTCACTAACTCACTCACTAACTCACACTAACACTAACACATGAGAGCAGGTGTTTGGGGACCAGGCCAGGTACTGGATCCTGCCTGTACCCAGCAGGTGGGACCTCGCTCACAATCACTACCACTCACTCACACTCACTAACTCACTCGCTCGCTCACACTCACTCACTAACTCACACTAACACTCACACATGAGAGCAGGTGTTTGGGGACCAGGCCAGGTACTGGATCCTGCCCGTACCCAGCAGGTGGGACCTCGCTCGCACTCGCTACCACTCGCTCACTCGCACTCACTACCACTCGCTCACTCGCACTCACACTCACTCACTCACACTCACTCACTCACTAACTCACACTAACACTTACACTAACACTAACACATGAGAGCAGGTGTTTGGGGACCAGGCCAGGTACTGGATCCTGCCCGTACCCAGCAGGTGGGACCTCGCTCACACTCACTACCACTCACTCACACTCACTCGCTCGCTCACACTCACTCACTCGCTCGCTCACACTCACTCACTCGCTCGCTCACACTCACTCACTGACAATCACACTCACTGACAATCACACTCACTCTCACACTCACTCGCTCTCACACTCACTCGCTCACACTCACTGACACTCACACTCACTGACAATTACTCACTCACTCTCACTCACTCACACTCACACTCACTCACACTCGCTCACTCGCACTCGCTCACACTCACTCACACTCACTCACACTCACTCACTAACTCACACTAACACTCACACATGAGAGCAGGTGTTTGGGGACCAGGCCAGGTACTGGATCCTGCCCCTACCCAGCAGGTGGGACCTCGCTCACACTCACTACCACTCACTCACACTCACTCGCTCACACTCACTCACTCGCTCGCTCACACTCACTCACTGACAATCACACTCACTGACAATCACACTCGCTCTCACACTCACTCGCTCACACTCACTGACACTCACACTCACTGACAATTACTCACTCACTCTCACTCACTCACTCGCACTCACACTCACTCACTCACACTCGCTCACTCGCACTCGCTCACACTCACTCACACTCACTCACACTCACTCACTAACTCACACTAACACTCACACATGAGAGCAGGTGTTTGGGGACCAGGCCAGGTACTGGATCCTGCCCCTACCCAGCAGGTGGGACCTCGCTCACACTCACTACCACTCACTCACACTCACTCGCTCGCTCACACTCACTCACTCGCTCACTCACACTCACTCACTGACAATCACACTCACTGACAATCACACTCGCTCTCACACTCACTCGCTCACACTCACTGACACTCACACTCACTGACAATTACTCACTCACTCTCACTCACTCGCACTCACACTCACTCACTCACACTCGCTCACTCGCACTCGCTCACACTCACTCACACTCACTCACACTCACTCACTAACTCACACTCATACATGAGAGCAGGTGTTTGGGGACCAGGGCAGGTACTGGATCCTGCCCGTACCCAGCAGGACGATGTTGACGACGATGTTGTTGTTGTTGTTGATGTTGTTGATGTTGTTGATGATGATGTTGTTGATGTTGATGATGTTGATGTCGTTGATGTCGTTGATGTTGATGATGTTGATGTTGTTGTTGATGTTGTTGTTGTTGATGTTGTTGTTGATGTTGTTGATGTTGTTGTTGATGTTTTTGTTGATGTTGTTGTTGATGTTTTGTTGTTAATGTTGATGATGATGTTGTTGATGTTGATGATGTTGTTGATGTTGTTGTTGATGTTGTTGTTGATGTTGTTGTTGATGTTGTTGTTGATGTTGTTGTTGATGTTTTTGTTGATGTTGTTGATGTTTTGTTGTTAATGTTGATGATGATGTTGATGATGTTGTTGATGTTGTTGATGTTGTTGTTGATGTTGTTCTTTTTGATGATGTTTTTGTTGATGTTGTTGATGATGTTGTTGATGTTGTTGTTGATGATGTTGTTGATGATGTTGTTGATGATGATGTTGTTGATGATGATGATGTTGTTGATGATGTTGATGATGTTGTTGTTGATGTTGTTGATGTTGATGTTGTTGTTGTTGATGTTGTTGTTGATGTTGTTGATGATGCTGTTGTTGATGATGTTGTTGATGATGTTGTTGTTGATGTTGTTGTTGTTGTTGATGTTGTTGATGTTGATGTTGTTGATGTTGTTGTTGATGATGTTGATGTTTTTGTTGTTGTTGATGTTTTTGTTGATGTTGTTGATGTTTTGTTGTTAATGTTGATGATGATGTTGTTGATGTTGATGATGTTGTTGATGGTGTTGTTGATGTTGTTGTTGATGTTGTTCTTGTTGATGATGTTTTTGTTGATGTTCTTGTTGATGTTGATGATGTTGATGTTGTTGATGTTGATGATGTTGATGTTGTTGATGTTGATGTTGTTGATGCTGTTGTTGATGATGTTGATGATGTTGTTGATGATGTTGTTGATGATGTTGATGATGTTGTTGTTGTTGTTGATGTTGATGATGTTGATGATGTTGTTGTTGTTGATGTTGATGATGTTGATGTTGTTGTTGATGTTGTTGTTGATGTTGTTGTTGATGATGCTGTTGTTGATGATGTTGTTTATGTTGTTGTTGATGTTGTTGTTGATGTTGTTGATGTTGTTGTTGTTGTGTGCCTAGTCTGGGAGATGGCTGCTCATTCCCCACGTGCCTCGTCCCTGCAGACGTCGAGACAGGCGGCTCCATCACCAGCCCAGCCCTGAGGTCTCGCTCACCCTCACGCTCACCCTCACGCTCACCCTCACGCTCACCCTCACGCTCACCCTCACGCTCACCCTCACGCTCACCCTCACGCTCACGCTCACCCTCACGCTCACCCTCATGCTCACCCTCTCTCTAGCCCTCACGCTCACCCTCACGCTCACCCTCACGCTCACCCTCACGCTCACCCTCACGCTCACACTCTCTCTAGCCGTGTCTCAGACGTGTCTCTGTGTGTGTGTGTGTCTCCGTGTCTCTCTGTGTGTGTCTCTGTGTCTGTGTGTGTGTGTGTGTCTCCGTGTCGCTGTGTGTGTGTGTGTGTCTCCGTGTCGCTGTGTGTGTGTGTGTCTCCGTGTCTCTGTGTGTGTCTCCGTGTCTCTGTGTGTGTCTCCGTGTCTCTGTGTGTGTGTGTCTCCGTGTCGCTGTGTGTGTGTGTGTCTCCGTGTCTCTGTGTGTGTGTGTCTCCGTGTCTCTGTGTGTGTGTGTCTCCGTGTCTCTGTGTGTGTGTGTCTCCGTGTCTCTGTGTGTGTGTGTGCGTGTCTCTGTGTGTGTGTGTCTCCGTGTATCTGTGTGTGTGTGTCTCCGTGTCTCTGTGTGTGTATGTGTCTCCGTGTCACTGTGTGTGTGTGTGTCTCCGTGTCTCTGTGTGTGTGTCTCCGTGTCACTGTGTGTGTGTCTCCGTGTCTCTGTGTGTGTGTCTCCGTGTCACTGTGTGTGTGTCACTGTGTGTGTCTCCGTGTCACTGTGTGTGTCTCCGTGTCACTGTGTGTGTCTCCGTGTCACTGTGTGTGTGTGTGTGTGTCTCCGTGTCACTGTGTGTGTGTCTCCGTGTCACTGTGTGTGTGTCACTGTGTGTGTCTCCGTGTCACTGTGTGTGTCTCCGTGTCACTGTGTGTCTCCGTGTCACTGTGTGTGTGTCACTGTGTGTGTCTCCGTGTCACTGTGTGTGTCACTGTGTGTGTGTCACTGTGTGTGTCTCCGTGTCACTGTGTGTGTCTCCGTGTCACTGTGTGTGTGTGTGTCTCCGTGTCACTGTGTGTGTGTCTCCGTGTCACTGTGTGTGTGTCACTGTGTGTGTCTCCGTGTCACTGTGTGTGTCTCCGTGTCACTGTGTGTCTCCGTGTCACTGTGTGTGTCTCCGTGTCACTGTGTGTGCGTGTCTCCGTGTCTCTGTGTGTGTGTGTCTCCGTGTCACTGTGTGTGTGTCACTGTGTGTGTCTCCGTGTCACTGTGTGTGTCTCCGTGTCACTGTGTCTCCGTGTCACTGTGTGTGTGTCCGTGTCTCTGTGTGTGTGTGTCTCCGTGTCGCTGTGTGTGTCTCCGTGTCGCTGTGTGTGTCTCCGTGTCTCTGTGTGTGCGTGTCTCCGTGTCACTGTGTGTGTCTCCGTGTCACTGTGTGTGTCTCCGTGTCGCTGTGTGTGTCTCCGTGTCACTGTGCGTGTCTCCGTGTCTCTGTGTGTGTGTGTCTCCGTGTCACTGTGTGTCTCCGTGTCACTGTGTGTGTGTCACTGTGTGTGTCTCCGTGTCACTGTGTGTGTCTCCGTGTCACTGTGTGTCTCCGTGTCACTGTGTGTCTCCGTGTCGCTGTGTGTGTCTCCGTGTCGCTGTGTGTGTGTGTCTCCGTGTCACTGTGTGTGTGTCTCCGTGTCTCTGTGTGTCTGTGTCACTGTGTGTGTGTCACTGTGTGTGTCTCCGTGTCACTGTGTGTGTGTGTCTCCGTGTCACTGTGTGTGTCTCCGTGTCACTGTGTGTCTCCGTGTCACTGTGTGTGTCTCCGTGTCTCTGTGTGTGCGTGTCTCCGTGTCACTGTGTGTGTCTCCGTGTCTGCGCGTCGCAGTGGGAACGGACATCCCGAGCCAGCGGGTTGCCCCTACGAGCCGCAGTCTCACCTCCTGATGAGCGGCGGGGAGCAGGCCTGGGGTGAGCGAGCGCACTCGGGTGAGATCAACGTCGTCGTCATCGTCGTCATCGTCGTCATCCTCGTCGTCATCATTGTCGTCATCGTCATGATCAACGTCGTCATCATCGTCACTGTCGTCATCATCGTTGTCACCGTCGTCATAATCGTCATCGTCATAATCAACGTCATTGTCGTCATCATCGTCGTCGTCATAATCATCGTCATCGTCGTTGTCGTCAACGTCGTAATCGTCGTCGTAGTCATCATCATCATCGTCATCATCGTCGTCGTCATTGTCATAATCAGCGTCATCGTCGTCATTGTCATTATCATCATCGTCATCGGCGTCACCGTCATAATCATCCTCATCGTCGTGATCGTCGCCGTGATCAAAGTCGCCACTGCCGTCGCCGAGACGTTGTCGAGATCGCTGTGCCAATCTGAGCGGGTGGTGGTCGCCCCTTTCCCCATGTCCACCCGGCAGACGCCCGCAAACCCATCATGGATGTGGAGCAGGACTAGGGCGGCGAGGTCGCCCGTCGGTTCGGAGGCACGGCTCGCACAGGTGCTGGCGACGCCCACACACGTGCACGCACACACGCCACGCGAAGACACGATAAAGATTCCCCGTATAACCTTCACAAACTGTTGGGGGCAACTGCTGTTGGCGAACAGCACCCTATGAAAGACTGGCAGGGTGGCACACGAGGGGGTGGGCGGCCAGCACCACGCCCGGCCGCCTTTGTCTCCCCAGCTGCGGGTGTTTCACTCACGGCACCGGGTGGCCGAGCGGGCGAGGTGCCGGTTCGCTTGCCCCTCCCTCCCTCCCTCCCTCCCTCCCTCCCTCCCTCCCTCCCTCCCTCCCTCCCTCCCTCCCTCCCTCCCTCCCTCCCTCCCTCCCTCCCTCCCTCCCTCCCTCCCTCCCTCCCTCCCTCCCTCCCTCCCTCCCTCCCCGCTTACCTCCCGATTTGCCCGGTTGTCTGCGTACGGCGAAGGCACCAGGTGGAGCGTGCCGTGCATACGCTCAGCGCTACGAATCCGCGTCCCGGGTCTGACCCGCAGGTGGACGTGAGCCTTGAGTGTCCAGACGTCGCCCCCTGGGGAGAGACGGAAGCCGGCCGCCGCAGGCGCTGCTCCTCGCTGACGGTGCTTGCCCCGACAGTCTGTTAAGGCTGCACGGGGGACCTTTGTCTTTTGTGCGTTGTGCGTTCCGCAGAATCTCTCACCCAATGGGGTTCGTCATGGACGTCGGCGTCAACCGCAGTGTAGCCGCGTCGATGATGCCGCCGCCGCCGCCGCTGCTGACGGTGACGATCGTGATGACGACGCCGATGATGATGACGACGCCGATGATGACGACGACGCCGATGATGACGACGACGCCGATGATGATGATGATGATCGTGACGATGGAGCCCAGGGCCGGCCACTCGTCGTGTCCTCGTAGGACTGAGCACGGAGCGCAGACAACCCTCTCCCTCTGTGTGTCTGTGTGTGTCTGTGTGTGTCTGTGTTTGTGTCTGTGTTTGTGTCTGTGTGTGTCTGTGTGTCTGTGTGTGTCTGTGTGTCTGTGTGTGTCTGTGTGTCTGTGTGTGTGTGTCTGTGTGTCTGTGTGTGTGTGTCTGTGTGTCTGTGTGTCTGTGTGTCTGTGACTCAGCGTGTCTGTGTGTCTGTGTGTGTCTGTGTGTGTCTGTGTGTCTGTGTGTGTCTGTGTGTGTCTGTGTGTCTGTGTGTGTCTGTGACTCAGCGTGTCTGTGTGTCTGTGTGTGTCTGTGTGTGTCTGTGTGTGTCTGTGTGTCTGTGTGTCTGTGTGTGTCTGTGTGTCTGTGTGTCTGTGACTCAGTGTGTCTGTGCGTCTGTGCGTCTGTGCGTCTGTGCGTCTGTGACTCAGCGCGTCTGTGTGTCTGTGTATGTGTGTGTCTGTGTGTCTGTGTGTCTGTGACTCAGTGTGTCTGTGTATCTGTGTGTCTGTGACTCTGTGTGTCTGTTTGTCTGTGTGTCTGTGACTCAGCGCGTCTGTGTGTCTGTGACTCAGCGCGTCTGTGTGTCTGTGTGTCTGTGACTCAGCGCGTCTGTGTGTCTGTGTGTCTGTGACTCAGCGCGTCTGCGTGTGTCTGCGTGTCTGTGACTCAGCGCGTCTGTGTGTCTGTGTGTCTGTGACTCAGCGCGTCTGTGTGTCTGTGTGTCTGTGACTCAGCGTGTCTGCGCGTGTCTGCGTGTCTGTGTCTATGTGTCTGCGCGTGTCTGCATCTTTTATCTGCACGTCGGCGTGTCTGTGACTGCGTGTCTCTGTGTGACTGCGTGTGTCTGTGTTTGTGTCTGCGTGTGTCTGTGTTTGTGTCTGCGTGTGTCTGTGTTTGTGTCTGCGTGTGTCTGTGTTTGTGTCTGCGTCTGTGTTTGTGTCCGTTTGTGTCTGTGTTTGTGTCTGTGTGTGTCCGTGTTTGTGTCCGTGTTTGTGTTCGTGTTCGTGTTTGTGTCTGCGTGTGTCTGCGTGTGTCTGTGTTTGTGTCTGCGTGTGTCTGTGTTTGTGTCTGCGTGTGTCTGTGTCTGTGTTTGTGTCTGCGTCTGTGTTTGTGTTTGTGTCTGCGTCTGTGTTTGTGTCCGTGTTTGTGTCCGTGTTTGTGTCTGTGTGTGTCCGTGTTTGTGTCCATGTTTGTGTCTGTGTTTGTGTCTGTGTGTGTCCGTGTTTGTGTCCGTGTTTGTGTCCGTGTTTGTGTCTGCGTGTGTCTGCGTGTGTCTGTGTTTGTGTCTGCGTGTGTCTGTGTTTGTGTCTGCGTGTGTCTGCGTGTGTCTGTGTTTGTGTCTGCGCGTCCGGGGAGCGGTTAGCGCACTTGCGCTACAAACCAAGAAACCCGATTCCCCACTCGCGGCCAACATCGGTGGGAACTATCTGCACCGGTCCTGGGCCTCCCCTAGCCCGACTCGGCCTTAAATTAGTACCCCGGTGTGGTATGTGTACTAAACACCGCCAATGGGGAGACAAAGGTGGCCGGGCGGGCGTGATGCTGGCCACCACCCCCTCGTGTGCCGTGCTGCTCCTCGGTAACAGCGCTTGCCCCAACAGTCTGTTGAGGCTATACGGGGTGTGGCGAGTTGGGGGGGGGGGTGATCTTAGTGTGTGCGTCCGTTCTTCCGTAACGCAAGGGCGGTGTTCACCATCGCCTCCTGTGAAGTTGAACCGATCCCAACGGAGCTCTGGTGAGAATAAGTTGCGTCGCGGAGGGAAACGCTCCGGGTACTCATTTTGAGTCTGTGCCGACCTAGGGGGGAGGCCCAGGACCGATTCGGATGATCGTCACCGGCATTGGCCTTGAGCGGGAATGGAACTCGGGCAGGGCCGGGGTTCGTTGCGCGGCGTAGCGCTGAGCCGGACGCAGCCGCACCCCGCGACAAAGACGACGATCCGCCGCGTAGCTCGCACAGACGGTTGGGGGCAGTTCTGTTGGCGAGCAGCACCTGTGAAGGCCGGCACGGCGCACACAAGAGGTGGTGGGTGGCCGGCCAGCACCACGCCCCAACCCACCTTTGTCTCCGCGCCAGGTGCTCATTTAAGCCTGAGTCGGTGGCCGTTAGCGGGGCTCAAACTCGGGTCGCCGGGTTCGGAGGTGCGGCACTAACCGGACGGCAGCCCTGGCACACGCAATGCATGCGATGGGAATGGCGTCGATTTGAAGGTGATTTTATATATATATACGGTATACAGGTATTATAATGGTGGGGTAAAGCGTGGTAAGAGTAGGCCAAGCGCCACTCAAGGGGCTCTGCAGAGAGCGGCTTCTCGTGGAGGTACGGGCCGTGCCCCTGTACCGTCGGTTACAGAGACGCTGAGCCGGCTCCGTTGAGATTCCTGGGTTCGAATCCGGGTCTCAGCCACTGGTCGCACACCAAACTGGGGTTCTGAAGCGCAGCGACTCGCATTGGGGGACCCAAGGGCTCGCAATAGAGACCTATAGACTCACAGCAACCCATAGACTCGCCAAGAGACCCACAGACTCACACGGGGACCCATAGACTCACACAGAGACCCACTGACTCACACAGAGACCCATAGACTCACACAGAGACCCATAGACTCACACAGAGACCCATAGACTCACACAGAGACCCACACTCGCACAGAGACCCACAGACTCGCACAGAGACCCATAGATTCGCGCAGAGACACACAGAGCCCTTTTAGACTCGTACAGAATTGTAATTGCACACCGGATTGTAGTGACATTGAACACACCCATGCATGATGTTCCATGATAGTCTGCAGCGAAATTATGAACTTGGGAGGAGGGTGAGGGAGCGGGGGGGGGTAAGGGGGTGTGGGTAGAAGAGGAAAAATGGGGAAACGTGACGTCACAGGAAGCGGCATCACAGCCATGAGGTCACTTCCTGCGAGCGTCCGCGTCGCGCTTTATTCAAGCCAAAAGTGCCGCCGCGTGGCTGCGCGCCATTTTTATTTTCTTTGACGACCGCGGCGGCCGCCGCCGTGACGTCGTCGCATCCTCTTTTTTGTGCTCGCGTCAGAAGTTTCCGTGAAATAATTTACACCCCCCCCCCGCACACAATGTTTACATGGAAAACAAAAAACAACCGCTCCACGTTCCCCGCGGGAAGGAGCCTCGCGCGCTTAACGGAAACGGCGGGGCACGCGGGACGTCGGCGTGAACGGTTCGATCGGGGGAGGTCGATTGCGGAATTGGGCGTACTGACAAACAAACAAAAAATACCGAAAGCCAATTTCGCCCAAAGAGAGTTCAATCTGAAACGTACTGCTCGTGTGTACTTGGGGGGGTTTGTTTACAATCTCGATTTTTTATACCAATTGCATTTTGTAAAATATCTGGCCCAGGTGACAAACGTCTTTCGGACGGTTCCAAAACGTCTGCTCTCATTTTTTTTTGCGTCCAGTTCCGAAAGGGTGACGTCACAGGAAGTGACGTCATTGTCTGGCGTCACTCTCATGTGATGTCGTCGGCATCACGGTGGTGACGGCAGCGGCATTGTGCCGCGTACAAAAAGACGATGCATTCCGGATTTTTTTGTTTCCGCGTTGGACTACCGTCCTAACGATCCGACCCAAATTTGTGCCGTAAAGCCCTCCACCATCCCAACACAAAAGGCAAAGTTCCCCCGTGTAGCCTGTAACAGACTAGGGGCAAGTGCTGTTAGCGAGCACCTATGAAGGCTGGCACGGCACACGAGGGGGTGGGTGGCCAGCACCACGCCCGGCCGCCTTTGTCTCCCCAGTGACGATGTTTACTGCACACCGCACCAGGTACTCATTCGAGGCTGAGTCGACCTAGGGGAGGCCCAGGACCAGTTCAGGTAATCGTCACCGGTGTTGGTGATCGTGAGTGGGAATTTAACTCGCCACGAAGTGACGATGACGTCAACCACGGCGCCTGTGCCAGGCCAGGCCACAAGCACACGCACATACACTCGCACATACACACACTCGCACACATACACACACGCACTCGCACATACACACACTCGCACACATACACTCGCGCACATACACACACGTACACACTCGCACATACACACACTCGCACATACACACACTCGCACACATACACACACTCGCACACATACACACACTTTCACACCTGCACATACACACTCGCACATACACACATGTACACACTCGCACACATGCACACACCTGCACACACACTCGCGTACACACTCGCACACACGCTCACACGTGCACACACACGCACACATACATACATACAAAGAAAAAGATCCCCCATATAGCCTTAACAGACTGTAGGGGCAAGTGCTGTTAGCGAGCGCCTTTGAAGGCCGGAACGGTACACGAGGGGGTGGGTGGCCAGCACCACGCCCGACCGCCTTTGTCTCCCTAGTGGCAATGTTTACACACCGCACCAGGTACTCATTTTAGGCTGAGTCGACCTAGGGGAGGCCCGGGACCGGTTCAGATAATCGTCACTGGTGTTGGCCGTGAGCGGGAATCGAACCCGGGTCGCCAGGTTCATAGCGCAGCGCGCTAACCGCTACACTACCGCTCCCCACTACGCACACATACACACTCGTTCACATACACGTACACACATTTGCACACATACACACACTCGCACATACGTACACACTCACGTGCACACATACACATTCGCACACACATACACACGCTCACACACGTGCACACACACACACTCGGCCGTACAAATTGAATCGTCGCCCGGCTCGCTGATTGTCGCGGCCGCGTCGGCTCAACTCAGCTGGCGGGGGGGTGGCGGAGGGTATCACGACACAGTTGTCTCTACGGACCACCGCGCTCGTTGGCAAGACCGCGGAAAAAAAAACCCCAACCCGCGAATTGTCACCAACGTGGCCTCGCGAGAGCCTCCCGCGTGCGCAATCCGAGCGGACGACCTCGCACGAAGTTGGCAAAACAAAAACTGCGGCTCTTGGGAGCCGTGTGTAGGGGGCGAGTCCTCGTTTTAACGCGCCAGTTGCGGTCGGAGTAGACGCATGGAGCGGGACCGCGCCGCGTCAAGCAGAGAACGGTTCCCCCCCCCCCCA